AAGACAAATGACTTGTGGTTGCAGCAGCCGGGGTGAGGGCGGCTGTGCTGGGCTCTAGGGGTGGGGGGAGATGTGGTTGCAGCAGCAGTCTGAGGTGCTGAGCTTTGTAGCTGTATTGCATCTTGGTGAATTGATTTGATTCTAGGTAAATATCCACATCTAGTAGATAAGCAATTTCTGGTGACTGAGGGTGGTTTTATTTTAAATTCATTATCTGAGCTTTGTGGCTAATAAAGTTAAACAGAATACATTTACTTCTCTTTCCTAATAGGAATCAACTGTGCTCTGCAGCGGCTTGTGGGCCGTGCTTTATCCGTGCCCTGTGTATCCAGCCCTCGGTACAAGGGGAAATTGTTCTTTCCGTTATGGGTTTCTATTGCCAATCTGATACAATATTTAAACAGATTATCTCAATGCTCTGTTTGTCCCAAACCAATTTTTGCTTTGGCCTATGAAGTGAATCTTCCTTTCAGCGGCTTCTGTGGTACAGGATGTAGTTACATGCATCAACTAGTTCAAAAGGCCCATATACAGCATGGATTTAAAGCTGAATAAACCCACAAAACCCTTAGCTAGGACTATAAATGTCACTGTATTTTTATATATGTCTGTATTATTTTTTTTAAGAGAATAGGATTACTGCATGCAGCTATAACTGAAAGTCCTTTGATAATTCAGTGGGTATTTTAAACCTAGCAATGATATACTTTCATAAAACCACACGTCCCTGTTTTCTGAAGGATGCTAATAAGATGGTTAGCTGTGCTTTCATGCTCGATGTGTTTATGAGTGCTCTTGCCTATTTGGTTGCCCCTTTGAATTTAATGCCCCACTCTGATTTCATAGTAATTGTCAGGAGTCTTTTTTTCTTTCTGTATGTCCCCACTCACCGTCTGGAAAATGCAGTCTCCTCGTTGCTGACCCCATCCGTCTGTCTCCTCATGGTGCTTGTAAAGAAAACCCTCTCCACCAAGGACAAAGATGTTTTTAAACAAACCAATCTGATATAAACCATAGTTTGCTTAACCCAGAGGTGACCAAGAAGCGGTGGCTGGCTGACTGTGCCCAGCCTTGAGTCGCTGTGTACGGCTGCCCTTCTCCAAAGGCTGCACATGCTGCCACGCTGTGCTGTTCATTATCTGAACAGCATCTGCAGTTCCCTTCTCTGTTACAGATGCCGCAGTCTGCTTAGTTTTGTGCAAATGACACGCTGCCCTTACACTCCTATGAGTCGTCTCTGCAGCTCTTCAGCCAGCTGACGTCCTGCTTGAGACTTGTCTTGCTCCTCACCCTTGACACCCCAGGGAGCGAGTACTGCTGGTCTGGCTGCCGTGCAGGCATCCTAGGCATCCTCCCTTCTCACTGCAGGTGAAGTCCCAGCATGCAGACATTTGTTTGCTGCCCTGCTTCAACGGCCTGTTCCTCTCCTGTTGCTTCTGAGCACCATCTCTGCACCAAATTTTCCCACTTTGTGGCTTTCTACCCAATGTCTCCCATCAATAACAAGGGGTTGCTTTATGAGTCTCATCAGCCCAAGTTAGTGTCAGTGTCATGTTTGCTAGCAGGGAAGTGCTTGTGAATCAGAGTGTGTGCAGTAAGGGCTGCTTGTCCCATGTAGTGGTGGCATGCAGCAGGGAACTCGGCTGAGTTATTTTTTCCAGTCTACTAAGCTGTCAGGAAATGCTTTCTGTTTTCCTAGCTAGTGTGCTTGTAAGACCAATTTGAAAAAAAAAGGTTGGAAATCCATCTGTGCATGGCTCTACTTAATCTTAAATCTTCACTAACCAGAGGGGGAATGCTGGGTGCAAGTTTTAAATAATATTTACAAAATAGTAACAGTCATAGTAACTAATACTATTATTTCGCTCTCGATTTCAATTGCATATACAGACAGTGTAACCTACGCTGGCAGCTACTGAAATAAAGTCCACTTCTCTATGTTGGTTTGCTTGTCTTCCAGCCTTTTAAATCAGCTTACTTTATACCTTAGAGAATACTTTTATTTCTATATATATCCTCTCTTCTATTGGTTACCCCAGATAATCCTGTGATCAGCCACGCAGCAGTGTCACTTGAGTAGAATATGGAACGATGCTGATCGTTTTCTCATAGGCTGTCATACTAGCCCAGAAATAGCATCCGTCTACAATGGGAGAAGCTCTATTAACATTTACAACTGTTCCTCTTCCTGACCCCTGAGAATTGCTCCGTGGTAGATAAGCAGTGCTTCGTACTACACTTCTGTGCGCTCGGTATTTTGGAGTTCAGTTCTGAAATCTAAAGGCTCCTAATCCTCATCTGCTCTGGGATACACAGCTCTGCTCTTAGCAAGTGGTGCTGTGAATAGGATTAGCATTTCAACAGCTGCTTTTTTTAACTGTGAGCAATAAACTAAAATAACAGGGCCTGATTCAGAGCTCTCCAAAGTCAGCAATAGTACTTTGGCTGGTGTGAGTTGGCTTTGGGTCAGGCCCGTAAGAGTGGGAAATTCAGTTTTTCCCCGGAAAGAAGGGAGAGTGTGTGAATTTTAGAGTTCCTGCTCCTGTGGGGTCTGTCCACACCGAGCTGAAATCTGTGGATTTACAAGCCAACAAACAGGACTGTAAATGTGACTGCAGGTGAAAAGAAAATGTGTTGCTAGTCAAGCAGTTAAAACTTGTGGGTTTTAATGATGTCAAGGGCACTTAGGACATGCATATAAACAAGTAAACATTAGATGTATTTATGCCACTGTTCCTCTTCTCTTCCCTTGGATGTGTGGAAGTACAGACAATGGTTGGGGCAGAATGTGGGCTGGGCCCTGTGGTCGGGGAGATGAGCTGTTGGGTTGGGAAGTCTTGCAGCGACTGGCTGCGCTCAACACAGCCCTTCAAATTCATTAGCTACGGCCCGTGGGCGAGAGCCAGCTGTGAGCATCTGGCCCTCGGGGCTCAGCACGTGATGTTGCAGGCCTGTACACTTTGACTAAAAGCAGTTTGGGGATTTACTGTGCCTGCACCGTGTAGGCATGGCACCCTTTACCAAGCAGAGCCCGTTCCTGATGAACAGCTCTTGAGTGGAGCCTGGATTCCAGTTTTCTACCAACCTATTTATGAAACAGGTGATACCCTGAGCCTGCTTACTGGGCTCTAGAACTGCAGTTTTGCTATTCCCTTGCACAAGCTCTGCATTTCTGAACATCAGCTCTCCACAGTGCTTTTTAAAAGCACAGCAATAGTGGCAATGCTGCAGCTTTCTACAGATATCCTTCAAACCCAATTATACTGAGTTCCTTACACACCATGCATGTATTTTGAGCTGTGCTTGGTAATTAAATGGAAAACTCATAAATTACTTGCAAATCAAAAGTGCCTAGAGGAGTGGATGGAACCTCACATGTGTTTGAATCTCAGCGTTTTCATCCTGTGTTACGGAGAGCTTTGGCATCATGACCTGTAGCACCGTGTCCTTTCCAAAACACTCCCCACCTCGGAGGGTGCCGTGAGTGGTCGAAAGCAGTGGTTTCCAAACGGCTGAGGTGGGGCTCTCCAGGAGTCGTCAGAAGGGCACTGCTACAGATGAGGGACGCGTTGCAGAGGTGACAGTAGTGCCGCATTCTCAAGCTCTTTATCTTGAGGACAGGTTTCTGATTGCCGTGATCTGGAGGGGATCGGGAGCAACCTTCACGGCTCAAATAGGCCTTGGCTCCTAGCAGGAATATTTAGAGGATATAGTTCCTCATAGCAACAAAGCACTTCATGACATTTATCTGATTCATCCTTGCAAGTCGGCAAGAAGCATTGTCTCCATTTTGCAAATGGGAGAACAAAAAAGGTTGAGAGGTGGGCCCCTGTGGGCCCAGGTTTGTGCTAATATTTGAACTTTGTTCCCTGCTCTGGGTCTTGGTGGGCTTCAACATGGGAATTGCCTGGGAGAGACTGAGGAAGAGTCCTGAGGGCTCCAGAAAGGGCCGTAGGTGTATTCCTCTGATGGATTTGTGCATGCAAATTAGTTGCGAGAGCATCTTTAGCCCCAGGCTGGGTCTCACTGTGGTGGGTGCTGCTCAGGCTCCTCCCAGGCGGGGGCTGCAGAGCAGCATGGCAATGTGTCCTATGACACCCAGGCAGTCATGGGCTCGCCTGCTCCTGTGCCCTGAGCTGCAGTTGCCCCTCCTCTGTGGGGCCAGGCTGGGCAGCAAGAGGCACATGGAAATGGGGTGATTTGTGTCTCTTGGTTACGCGCCGGGATCCAGAATGTTTTTCCAGCCTTTTTAGAGAGGCGCGGATCTCTGAGTGGTGGCACAAAAAGCATTGACAAAAGCTTGGGTGTGTTGCTGTATTGCACGTGGTTGTAGATGAGCTGACCTGCATATTCTGTTTCTTAATCCTGAGTGATACTGTCAGCTCAGAGAGCTGAGCCTGACTAATGACTGAAATCCACTGTGCTTTTCTTAGTGAGCATGTGTGGTGATCTGAGATAGTTGTTAAGTGCTACATCCTGAGAATCAGGACTGCACGTGCCCCATGGGTCCAGCATGTTTTAGACAGATAAACGTGGTTTCAGATGATCAGGGAGTTACTATGAAAAGAACTGATGTCAGGTACATAGTAACCTGCAGTTAACTAGGAAGGAGATTAAATTAATGGGGTTTTCCCTCTGATAAAGATAATGAAGAGCTCACAAGGACTTGCTTTGCAGCTCCTACCCATGATATGCGTAGGCACTGTCTTCCTGGCACAGGGAATGCTAAACAGCTGTGTGACACAAGCAATGCAGCCAGTGGCGCACCCCACTGAGCGACATTTGTGCTGTCTGAGACTTCATCGATACTCTGTGAGATGAAGGAAGAATAGGGCTGAGGGGAAGGAAAAGAAGAGGCAATGGAAATAGGGACTGCAGGAAGGGGTTCAAGGTGTCCTGGGATCCACTGCCATACAGAACCCATTTCAAGGGAGGAGGGCATGGCATGGTGGGGGAGAGAGTTGGGGAAATAACAGCTGTGATCTCTCTTCTGGATTTAGGGTTTACTGTCAATCCTGCGTAAACTGAAAAGCGCCCCAGACCAGGAGGTGAGAATCCTCCTCTTGGGACTGGATAATGCAGGCAAAACCACACTCCTGAAGCAGCTGGCATCTGAGGACATCAGCCACATCACACCAACACAGGTGAGGAAGGACTTGCCCTGCACAAGGCACTTCTTTTGGTCCCACCTGCCTTATTTACAAAGCGCTAGTGATTCAGCTGAGTATTTCAGTAAAACGGGCAGCAAGTGGAACCCGGTACACCATTAAGTTTGTGCTTTTTCTGCATCAAAAGGAGGCTCCCTGAAGGAGACAGAGCGCAAAAGTGGATGAATGCCATGGGCTTGTGCAGGCTTTTGGGTTGTGCTAAGACTGCATGGATGGAACTTCATTCCTGTCATCCTTGCCAAGCAGGGGATGTGTACAGGGGATGCTGCAGCACTGGGCAAGCCCCTGTCTCCTTGCATCTTTCACCCAGTCAGGTCCAAGGGTCCTGCATATCCAGCACTCCCTCTCTTGATGCCTCTGGCCCGCTTTCTTGGAGCCTGGGGGTTGGATGTCTCCCATCAGAAGCAGCGCAGCATCACTCCTGGGTTGACCAGAGGAGGTTGCTAGAGAGCTTTGGGAGATGGTTCCCCCCACCCCGTAGCTGCCTCCCAAAGCTCCTAGCCCTGACACCCAGATTCCAAGCCCCAGTCCCTTGGATGGTGTGGCAGCACGTTGCCAGCCCACACCACATCCTGTTTTTCTACTTGAATGCCCTTTCAATTGGTGCTCTAATTGATGAAATGGACCCTTCAGACGTGCAGCTGTTGCTCTTTTAAGCCCAGCATTAGCTGTGTCGTGTCGAATTGAGCTGAGACCTCTGGCTTCGGTAGCTGGAACTTTCTACTCAGCTTTCACAAACTCAGTCCTGCTTCTCACAGCGCCCTTGTTTTCTCCTTATCTGCAGCAGTCCCACCTCTTCCTGCACCCACCCTGCTGAGCCCTCCCAGGGCACTGACTGCATCATATGTCTCCATAGCCATGACAGCATCAACCGTTGACCCGGGAGCGCTGGCCAACTGCTGGCGTGGTGGCTGCGTTTACCTTTGCCAGCCTCTCTCCCACAGCCGATCCATCTTTGTGGCTGCCCAGCCCATCTCGCTGCATGTTGCAGGCACGGGATATATAAAGTGTTAATGCCTGCTTATGTATGTGATCCAGCCATTCAGGTCTGTGCTCTATGTGGCTTTGTTTCTGCTTTTTCCAGGGCTTTAACATCAAAAGTGTACAGTCTCAAGGCTTCAAGCTGAACGTATGGGACATAGGCGGACAGAGGAAGATCAGGCCGTACTGGAGGAACTATTTTGAAAACACTGATGTCCTTGTGAGTATTGGCTGCAGTTGAATGCTGTGTTCATGCAATAGCTTTCCAAGGCCTCAGCCAGAAATTTGGGAACAAGTAGTGTAATGTCCGAATCCTCAGCAACACCATTGCCATTGTAACAGGAGTTATTCTGAATGAAATGGCAAGATTGGTTGGGTGCAATAAGAAAAATACAGTGATGTTTGGAGAAATCATTCACTTGTATGTTTTTACTTTGACAGGATGGTGCTGATCTAGCCAGTTCCTTTCCTCTCATCTCAGTCTCCTTCCAATGAAAGAACATTAATAACTTGTAGTTTGCCCATCTATAGCTCCTTTTACTGGGACCTCTGGAGGCCTGTGGTGGGTATTAGTGACTTAAGCCTCGTGTAGAGGTGTATCAGTATGGTACCTTTGTTTTCTAGTCGGGGAGACTGAGGCACACCAGAATGAAATGCTGTGTCTGACATCAGATAGAAAAGCTTCTGGCTGAGGGACACAGAGAGGCCTCTTGTCTTTTGTTTTGGTCCTTTAATCATAAGACTGTCCTTTAATGTTTTTGACATCTTAGCTGCAGTTACCTTACAATTAGCTGCAGATGACAATTACATTTACAATGCAGGACCTTTTTGTTTCCATGCCAGAGCACATTACTGTGGGACCCTCCAACTAGTTTCAAAGAGCGCATCTAACACACATCCATGTATGCCAGGATGAAGGCAGGCTGGGGGCTCCAGGTCTCTCCTCACCACAAGCAATATTGCCTGTGGGAGCAGAGCAAAGGGAAGGTCTGCAGGGCTCCCACGGGAAGGCAGGAAGCTCTCTCAGAAAGACACCCTTCCTCCCTCCTGTCACACACACATACTCACTGTTGCATCAGGAGCTTCAGTGCACTTCCACAGAAGGATCAGAGCAACTAGGAATAGGACTCTGCTCCAACACCCCTCTCTGGGTCCTGAAGGTCCTGGCTACACTTGCAGATTGAGAAAGCATTGTCCAAATGAAGCTGTTATTTAAATGGGATCAGTAAATCCTCAGTAATATCGTGTGCAGATCCCCCTTTTCCAGCCTTGGTTTGGAGTTCAAGGGCAGCCACCACAGCATAAACCTGGTTGGTTGCTTTTGCAAAGAGTAATGGTTAGATCTCCCTAGGAGAAAGATCTGCGTTTGAGAAACTAGCAGGACATGCTCCATGTGCTCCTCTGTGGCCACTGAGGAGGGGGACATGGCATTGCCCTGAGAGGCTTGCAAGTCCAGGCTGTGCAGCCATGGTGGGGGGGCAGTAGGTGTGCAGATCCAAGACAGCACTGCAGAGCAGCAGCCAGGGGATCTCTGTGGCAGGTGCTCAGGCTGCAGAGGCTGCGCAACCACAAAACAGTATCTGGAAGACTCTGCTGGCAAAGGCAATGAGATGCACTGGCCTGTGGGCTTCCACCTTCCCAGCGTGTGCTGCAGAGGGAGGCGCAGAAATAACGGCGTGTTTGAAGACTGAAGGAGATGAAAGCCGTTGTTTTCCCTGCCCTCCTCCCTTCCTAGTTAAAGCTGTGTACAGAGAAAAACCTTTTTGTGCAAGTAAGAAAATGCTTAGAAGCAGAATCAGTTTGGGGTAAGCAGCGGTCTGAATTTGGAGGGAGTAACCGGTGTGTACACGGACCTGAGCTCCCCTGTCTGTGCTCCATGCTGGCACCCAGTCGCAGACTGGGAGCTGCTGGCTTTTTTTTTTTTTTTTTTGGCAGTGCTTTGGTATGTCCATATGCACCAAAATGGGAATCAAGTATATGCTGATGATCGTGTGCTGCCAGCCCTCATGCCCATTTTAGCCGTCAATTTTTGCCCTCTGACAAACTTGGTGCAGGCTTTGCATCTGTAAACTGAGCCAACCTATCCCTTCATGTTATTTATCACACTTACTGCAGGTTTTGTTTTCACATGTTGCTCAGAAGAGGCACCCAACTTTACAGGAATTTTTTTCCCAAGCTCCATTTCTCCAACATGGTGTACTAAGTGGCTGTTCAAACTGATGAACTGTGCTACCAAGCACCACAGCCAGAAACAGACTCTTGTGTGGCCCTGGCCAAAGAAGGAAGGCATAGATGAGCTACACTACAGTTCCCAGGAGCCTCTGCTTCTTTCTTCTCCTAAAGAAGATGGCATGAAGCAGAAAGGACCCTCTTTAGAGCATTAAAAAGCAGGAAGTGATTGCAAATTCAAATCTATGCAGGTGCCTTTGAATGAGAGCTTAGTCTTGCATCACACACCTGTGATATTTGGAAGCTTAACCCAGGCAAATAAGGTGTGGATATCTGGCTCATTGCATATTCAGACAAGCACCTGCAGCTATTTGGCTCTGTGCTTTCTGGTTTGGAAGTAGGCACCCTGCACATACTTTGCCTTCTCTGTACGATGCTTTTGTGGCTTTTGCCCTGAGTGCTGTTGTCTCTAGTTCTCTTGCAAAATAGCTCCCTAGCAAGGAACAGAGCAATGGAGGAGGAAGCCTGCCT